TATTTTTATTTCTAGGTGAAGTTTGTGAACTGAGAAAAGGGCCACCTGAGGATGTGAATCCTGAGTATGCAGGCCCTGCACTTAACAGCCCTCTGGCTCTTCTTTCAAGTCAACCCTTGTTTATTTCTCAAAAAAAATCAAGCTTTGACAATGTTGATAGTAAGACAAATAGAAATAAAAATAAATTATGCAAAAAAAAATTGGAAATTCCATTCTCCATTATCCTGTCAGAGCTGAAGAAGCTTGTTGGATGATGAGCGAAACGTCTTCGAAGAAAAAACAAGAAAGTCCAGTTGCCTCCTGAAAAAGCATCTTTGGGACAAACATGACCTAGATGACTGAGAATATCTAGACTTAGAAAAAAGGGTAAATTTATAACTGCTCTAGAGAGAATATCTGGATCTTTGTTTTAAAAAATCTTTTAATAAAATTACGCGCACACACACACACCCAGATGTTTTGGAGTTAGACTTCAGAATGGCTGGGAGGGAGACGGGAAGCATTATTGCTATTTTGAATACCTCTCAGCTTCTTAGCAGCCCTGCTGGAGCACCACTGAAGAAAATCCTTGATAAGGAAACAGTTTAGCCACAAAAGAACCAGGTAAATAAACGCAGTCTCCTTGGTGGCTACCAGATCAAGTCTGTCCAGTTGCTTGGGCAATGGATGCTGGCAACCACATCCTGCACATCCTGTTTTTTTTATGGGGACAGATGTGTCCCTTTCCAAACTGAACTCTGAGCTGCAGCCCCTCACCCTTTTCCTAACAATGGCTGCAAAAATGGAAATTGGGCTGATGCTGGAGACAAGGTTGGCTGTGGGCCAGCTTCCTATTTATTTGTGGTTAGGGTACCTTCTGGAGGCCAAATGGTGCAAGGACTTTGCCTCTGGGCTGTGGGTCTTGCTCTAAGGACCCACCAACCCCAGAGTGTCCCATGAGACCCGGCTTCCCTGACAACCAGCAAAGGCAGCACTTGGCATTGTGAAGATCTGCCAGACCTAGTCAAATCCGAGAAGCCTCAGCAGCACAAAGTAGAACAGCTGGCTCAGGCCCAGCCCAAAAAGATTCCGGGAAGCCCAGCAAATGAAGTCCAGGTTGGCTACTTCTGTCCATGAGGTGTGTTTGTGTTGATGCAATGCCTGCCCACTTGCAATGTCTTCTCAAAAACACACAACAGAATAGTCCCCAGGGCAGCCAGAAAGGCCTTAACCATCCTGTCCTCTGTAGGGCTGGGAGCCAACAATTATCCCCCACAAATGGCCACTGCAGGCTAAGCCATCTGAAGTGAGGGGGAAAGGAAGTTCCTGGTTATTGGCAAATGCCAGGTGAGGATGGTAAGTTGAGCATCAAGAGCCAAATCTGCCAGAGACCCAGACTGAAAAATGCACATGGAGCAGAACAAAACTAAATGAGATCTAAGCTCACTTCATGAACAAATGTAGGACAATTAGCAGGGGGGAGGGGAGACCCCTCTGAGTGGGAGGAATAGGGGCACCTTGCAGAAACACCTTTTGAGAGAAGCCTGGGGGGGGGGGAGGGTGTCAGTCCTGCTGCTGCTGCTGCTGGCGATGCACAAGCAGTTCCAGCCGTAAGAAGCCACCTAGATCCCACTTTTGTGTGCAACTGTTGGGGCTCTGTTGAGTGTTACTGCCAGTTTAAATGAGTCCTCTCCCCATCCCCTCAAGCAGTTGTGTGTGTGTGTGCGTGATAACTTGCCCCTACCTGATGGAATATCCCCCTCTCCACACTGAGACACCCCCACCTGGCCTTTTGAAAACGGTTCTGCCATTTCACTTGGGGGTGGCCAGCGCTTATGCATAAAACTTTACTGTCAAATTTTAACTACCCTTGCCTCCATTTAAATGTTTTATATTGTTTTTCAAAACCTGATACTTCAATCAATCTTTGAGGGAACAAGAGATGCTGTCAGAGAGAAAAACCCCACCCCACAATATGAACATGAAATCGGTAGGCAAAGGAGTCCTGATTTCCAAGCCCTCAAGGGAAGTTCAGCAATTCTGTGTAGATGTCTTATTTATTTATGAAAAATATATACTTATCTGTACACTTTTCAACCTCAAGCACTCCTTAGTGGAGGAGATCAGCCAGTCCTTTGCTGGACAAGACAAGGATCGAAAAAATGAGTGAGGCTCGTGCAGGGCTGAAGCCCCCAGCCGTTCTGCTCCTCTGGCTGCCACGTTCAGCCTGCCACCTCCTTAGTGCTCATTCTGCTCCTTGCCATTCACCTTCTTCTTCTTCTTCTTGGCCTTGGCGCAGCTTCCACCAGCTGGCTCTTCTCTGTAGCAGCCCCTTTTGCTTCTTTTATATTTCTTGGCTTGCGGTGGGTGCTGGGGGTCAGGGCAGCCACTGGGGGTCGTCCCTGGCCCAGCCTTCTGCTGGGCAGAGCTAGCCAAGAAAGCCTTTTCCTGCTCTTCCAGCCGGGCGAGCTTTGCCCTCATAGTGATGCCGTGCCGAGCTCCCCTGGAAGAAGCAGCAAAAGGGAGATGTGGGGCCACTCAAGCTGCCAGAGTGCGGAGCCCCCCTTGGTGTTTGCGGGGTTGGGAGGCAGGAGCTGGCAGCCCTGCCTGGCAACACAGGAGGGGCCAGAATTAAGGAAGACGTATCTCCACCGAAGAGCCACAGGGGCAGAGGGACTGAGCTGCCCTCCCTCACCCCTTTTGTGAGGGAACTTAAATGGAGGACCAGAAATAGCCAGGCCAACATGAGAGCCAAGCCCAATAGGCAAAGCCTGCCCCCAAACCCTTTGTCACTAGGACAGAGCCTGCTCCATCTGTTCAGAGGGTCTGCCTTTGCCTCTAGGTCCCATCCACCCTTCCCCCCCTTGCTCCTCACTTGTGGACTGTTCTTCCCCCACAGGCCTGGAACAGCTCCTGGTCAGTCAGCCTGCAAAGGAAAGAAAGAGGGGGTGGGTGGGACCGACCTGGTTAGCATCTGCATGGCTGGGGTGGAGTGGGACAAGAGCCAGGTTTCTCCAGGCCCCTCCTCAGCCTCACCTCCTTGCCGTGGAGAGGTCCAGTTTCTCCTCCTCCTGGTCTGTGGAGGTCAAGGGGTTTGTGGGCTCCTCTGTGCCAGATATCAGGGTGGCTGCCTGCAAGGAGGGAAAATCCGGGGAGTCTCTGGCCCTCGTCCCAGGAAGGCTCTGAGCCAAGGATCTCCCATTGCTCCCTCCAGCCCGTTACCTTCACAAAGCGGCCGTAGAGCATGTCCCCCTCCTGGGCTCGGCATGGCTTTGTCCTTGGGACTGGCCCCTCCCGCTCAGAGAGCTTTCTCACCTGGACCCCATCCTGGGGGAGGAATGAAGGTTGAGACGTGGGGCTAAGCCCAAACAAGCCCTCCAGGACCCGTCGCTTGTGAAAAGGACTGGAGGCTATTTACCTGCAAAGATGAGACTGCTGGAAACCCCCAAGGACTTTTCTACCCCCCTTGACTTGCTGCACAGAAAACAAACTGCACACACAGGTCAACAAACGAGAGAGCTGTGTTCAATTGCTGTGTGTTATGTTCTACACAATAAATCCATTTCTACTCAACTATCAGCTTGTAGTCCACACATTGATTTGTCTGTGTGCTGAAGCATCCGACTCCATGTTACCCTTACTGAGCTTTCCCTGGGCCCTGAGGGGGTCACACATCGGTGGAAGTGACTAACAGGGCAATCCCCGTCCCATCCCTTTGCTCTCTCTGTTTGGTTTTATTATAGTTGTTAGTTTAATTTTTAGCATTGTGCTGTCTTAATCTTTTAACTATTTTTACTTGTTTCATAAGTAAAAATGAAAGCAGCCCAGAGTCACCTTGTAGGGGAGATGGGCAGCAAAGAAAACAGGAATAGATAAATTCATAAACCTTCTTGACACAGGGTTGCTCCATGGCTTAAGATCTACAGCTTCAGTGGCAAACTGCCAAACCAAAGCTATCCCTATGTCAAGCCCAGCCCGTGGCCCCTTACCTGTTCAGAGTCTACTGTAATGTTGGCAGCAGACGAGTTGAAGAGATGGTCCCACCAGTGATAGGTGAACTCCTCAGCTGAGTCGTGCCCCACCTGGGTCAGGAGGAAGCAGGGTCACAGATCTGGCCTACAAGCTTGAAATGCTCCCAGGTCATTAAGGACCATGCTTGGAAGGAACCTTAAAACAAGAAAGTTACTGTCTACCACCCACCAGATTCTCTGGTAAGCCTCCAGTTTGTCCCCACCCATCTAACCAGGAATTCCATGCTAAGCATAGATAATTCTTTGCAGACTTTATGTAAAATCTGGACTATGGTGCGGTAAGTGCAGAAGCATTTTACAACTCAAGAATATGAAACTGGTGATCCTCAAGGCCGGACTGTACTTATTTGGGTAATCCTGGCAGGCAAGAACGTGCTTAGGAACTGTCAAAGCGAGCCCCGAGTACTACCACAGGACCAAAGGTCGGCTTTGCTCAGAAGAGCCAAAGGCGGTTTCGCTGCCTCTCTAGGCAGATATCCTCCCTCCTCCCACTCAAAGTCTCACCCTTCCTTACCCCAGCTGTGTTGCATTTTATTTTGACCTTTAATGCTTCAGCGATCCCATTTTCTTTTTTCCCAAGTCCTTTACCTAAAAGAAAAGAAAAGAAAAATTCTTCCTCCTTTTCATTAAGAAACACATTGAAGTGAACCTAAGGAGAAACCGGCAGCTCTTCCTTCAAGGAACCAACTTGAAGTATGATTTCTGAGCTAGACTTACAACTGACGGTGGTCCTTGACTTTCAACCATAATATAGAGGGGCATTTCCATTGCTATGTGAGGGGAGTTATGCCTTATTCTATGATATTTTTTTCCTGCAGTTATAAAGTGGATTATAGGTTGCTAAGTGAAACCAGCTTCCCCACTGACTTTGCTGTTGGAAGCTGGCTGGGAAGGTCACAAATGGCGATCCCTTCATAAATACACAGCAGTTGCCAAGTGCCTGAATTCTGATCAAATGACCCCTGTGGTGGTAGGAAGTGTGAGGACCAAAGCCAATTTTTCAGCACCAATGTAACTTTGAAGGGTCGTTAAATGGTCATAAATCAAGGTCTACCAATATCATGTCATCCAATCCACACTTAGGAGGCTTGTTATTCAGAACTGTCAAATACTTTACTTCAATCAGTCAAGATACGTCTTCATAAATCCACTTTAATAATGCCTGTGTTGTTTTAAGGACTTCCAGTCCAGTCTCTTGATTATTTGCATCAGAATTATCCTAGCTAGGATGATTAATGTCAGGCAGATTGGATAATGGGAAGTTAACCCTTTGATCCAAAAAGGAGTGTTTGTTTGAACCATTATTTAATGAATGAAAATCCAGAAATTTGCACCTAATATGCCACAACAGACAGCGTTCTTGGCACTTTCCTGCTTCCAATTCAGCAAGATTTGCAGGAGTAAATTATATGGAAAGCAGTATTTCAGAAAATCATTTAATTTATCCTTGAATCCTTATTTATTTAACTATCACATTTGTATCAGTCTTTTCCTTATTATATGGCAAATCTGGCCCAGAATTTCTATTCAGCACCAAGTGACCCATTTGTTGCCCAGAGTTGCTTTTGGTGAGATGGGCAGCTTTGATTAATAAACAAAACAAAGTTTCTGCTCTACTTAAGTGTGGATAAACAAACTTAAAACAGGTGAAGCCCTGCACCTTTTTTCCATCCATGCTTCTTCAACTGCTCCTTTGCAAATTCCAGCCCTTTGCTTGTGGTCGGTACTGTCATCTTCTTCTTTTTCTTCTTCTCCTCTTTCAGAAAATCACCCATGATTGAGCTGGATGAAAATCCCTAGTTCTAAAGCCGATCAGTCCTTATTCTGCCTCCATGACCACCAGCTGATCGAAAGAGAAACACATCCAGTGAGGGAGAGGCACTCAGTTTAGAGTTGCAATATGTAGCCACGTATGATGGGATCTTAAAACAAAACGCCTAAACAACAGTCTTTATTTCAAGAATGTAACAGCAACACCAGGAATCCGGCTTTGATTTAAGTCAATGTGCACAATTATAAAATACAGCATACATGTTTGGGGATTGTTATGTGTGTTGGGCCTGGTCTCTGGGTGATCTGTGAATTTCGTTGTATGTGTATACTGTGTATGTAAATACAATGACAATAAAGTAAAGTAAGTAAAGTAAATATGTTTCTCTCATGTAGAAGCCAGAGGCTGATGGTTCCTGGTTTAAAGAAAAGTTGCCCTGGGCAAATCTTGGAGGAAAATAGCTGCGTTTTCCCTATTGCTCAATTGCCCAGCAGAGCAAACGGCAAGAATGAGCCCGCAGTCGCCCGTTTCAGATACAAACTCTCCCGCCTTTGCTTTTTCTCCTGAACTTCCGGCAGCCGGGAAACTTATTAGAAGACTCCGATTTTCCTCTCCCGGTTTCCAGCCCAACTGCTGCACTGAACCAGGCCCCGCTCCGCCCAGGAGGCTCCTTCCCTACTCCGAAGGCCTCCTTTTCATTGACTTCCCCCGGGATTGAGGCCAGAGAGTCCAATCCGGGCAACCACCGGGGGGGGGGGGTTGGAGCGTATCTGCCGTTCAGGCGGCGTCGGCCTCCGTTCCTGCCCGGAACACAGGCGCGCCTTCTGCCGTGGATGCCAGACAACCATCCTTCCCAGCCAGCAAGCGGCCTCTGGCGGCGGATGGGAACTGGAGTCTCGTCCGGCCCTGCCCACCACTTGCCCCAGCCCGGCCCGGGAGCCCAAAGGCGGCTCTCGCCGCTTACCCCGCTCGTCCGACCGACCGCGTGGTATCTCTCTCTCGCTCTCTCTCTCTCTCTCCCCCCCCCCCACCGCTGGGCCCGAGGCTTCCGGGAAGGGCGGGCTGGGGCTTGCGGGGTCGTCCTCTGATTGGAATGGCATAGGAATGCTGCCGGAAGCGAGTCTTCGGATTGGCTGGAAGGACTAGTAGGTGCGATAGGCCTGAAAGAAATCTTCTCATTGGACAGAGACATTGCCCAATCCCCGGATTCTTCAGCACGCCCGAAATAAGGCCGCCCGTTGGATTCACGTAAAAGGAAATAAGGCTTCGGATTGGCTGGTGGGAATCGGGGGCGCCTGATGTTCCGAACAGCGCCCCTGCAGGTGTGGAGGGTCTTTGCGCAAAGAGGCGGCGGGGGAAGCGAAGCCGCGGGCGGCCCCTAAAGGCCGGCTGGGTTAGAGCCGCCTCGGTTACTGGGGGGGCTTCGCTGGAAGAAGCCTCCGAGCCTTCCCGGCCTGACGCGCCGACTCCTTCCCCACCGATTGGGAACAGCTTCGCTCGGTCTTCAGAAACAGCGCCCTCCCCCCTCGCCTCTGCCTCGTTGTCCCAAAGGGGTCTTTTCCCCCCAAGAGGCGCCTGGACTTCCCGCTTTTTCTCTGAAGACGTTTCGCTTCTCACCCAAGGAGCTTCTTCCGCTTCTCGCCTAAAGGTCTTCAAAGAAAAAGCGGAAAGTCCAGGCGCCTCTTGAGGGGAAAAAGCCCCTTTGGGGCAACTGGAAGGCTGGGAATCTCCACAGACACCTGCCTCGTTCTCTACCCGAGGTAGGGCTGCCTGGCTCCCCCGGGGAAACGGAGGCCACGCGGGCAGTAATTCGCTTCCCAAGGTGGGAGACGGTCAGCCCTGGCCTTTCCTCGGCTTCACCACAGGGCCGCTCTGAAGACCCCAAGCGCCAAAGGCTCCTCTGCCCTTTTCCTGGGGAAAGTGGAATAGAGGGGGCCCTTTCGCCCCCCATAACTGGGTCTGCCCGCCCCAAGGGCCCCTCTGGAGGACCACCCAGGGGGTCGGATGCTGCATGGGGGGGGAGGCAGCACCTGGTGCGGCTCACCTGTGATTCCAGGAGACCTGGGGCGGGGGGGGGGTTGCTCCTTTCTTAGTTCTAGGTGCCCCCCCCCAGTCCCTTAGAGCAGTGTTTCTCAGCCTTGGCAACTTTAAGTCCTGTGGACTTCAACTCCCAGAATCCCCCAGCCAGCAGCTGGCTGGGGAATTCTGGGAGTTGAAGTCCACAGGACTTAAAGTCGCCAAGGTTGAGAAACACTGTCTTAGAGGATGGCGCTTGGGGGAGAAGCTGGCCACTCGATTCCATGTCTCTCCCGTTGGTAATGGGCAGTGAATGGGCGAACTCGCCACCCTGTTCCTTTGATCTGGGTGCCAGGTTGTTTCCCCCAGGGTACCTGGTTAAAGGGGGGGGGTGACATGGCTCCTCTGCTGCTCAATCCCTCACCCCCACCTGGAAGCAGAAGAACTTGTGGGAAGTCGTGTGGAGCTTCATGAGGAGGGAGGGGGCTTAGTGGGTCAGGAAGAATTTGGCTTCTGCCCTATGTCTTGTGTGCAACCTCTGGGAAGATGCAGAAGTCGCTCCTCTGCATGGAGGCCTCCCCTCCTTCCCTTTCTCTCAATGCCCATCCCAACCCAAAGCCTCTATTGACCACACCTCTCCACTTTTCAGAGCTCCATATCGATAATACATTTTTTTGTGTAATGTGTTTCCTCCAGTTGGCATATTGGAGAACTTTCAACATCAGCTCTGGATCGCTTATTTTTTCTCCCAAAACAGGAAGAACAATTGAAGACTCCCCCAGAACATACAAAAAGGAATCTAAGGAAAGAAATGGATTTCCAGAGTTTCGATATGTTCCACAGTCACATGAGCATGTCAGATTTATAAAGCTTCTCCTAATTCAGAGGTTGAGGTTCCTATGTGATCTTGATCAATTGGAAAAATAATCCTACAGTCAACACCAATAAGGAATGAAAGATAAAATTACTCTCGAACAACTCCCCCCCCCCAATTCACTTTCCTGAGAGGACAAAAAAAAGTGGGTGTTTTCATCCCTGGAATCACCAAACCATCACAAAAATATCCATTTTCCATCTTGTTGCCAAGGAGGACTAGCTCTTTGGGTGAAGACTACTATCAGGCACAAAAAAAACCCAGAAACTAGGTTGTTCAAATGAGTACACATTTATTCCATGCCACCTCTAAACAAGAATCTGAACTACTAATGGTCAGACCAAATTGGCAGTCAATAAGAGTCGGTGGAATTCAAGGAGGGCCGGATTTAGATCTCTTGTGGGCGCGAAGTGATCCTGGCTGCTGATGTGCATCTCCATCCCTGCCCCCTCACTGGGACGTTTATAAAATCCCCCTCCTGTGCAAACACTCCTTCAGCCCCCCCTCTCTCTCCCTCCCTCCCTCCCTCCCTCTCTCTCTCCCTCTCTCTTATAAAATCCCCCTCCTGTGCAAACACTCCTTCAGCCTCTCTCTCCCTTCTTTCT